GCATGGGACTGTGTTTGCAGACAGGAGGTGTTTAAGTTAAAATGAGGTCACCGGGGTGGGCCCAATCCACCATGACTGTGTCTTTATCAGCAGAGATCAGGGACACAGACACGCACAGAGGGATGACCCTGTGCGGCCCCAGGGGAGAGGCCTCAGGTGAACCAGGCCTGCCGACACCCTGAGCTGGAAGTCCAGCCCCCAGGACTGTGGGGGTCTTCCCGTCTAAACTGCCCACCCCTGGTGCTTTGTTACAGCAGCTGAGCTGACTGAGACCACGTCCCCAAGCCTGTGTTGCCCTGCTGGTCCCCCCCAGCGCCCGCCGCCGACCCGCATCCATCCATGAGGGGCCTGCTGGGCCGCCTCCTCGTCTTCCCTCCGAGTGTCTCAACCCTGCTGCCCCCTCCTGGGGCCCCTTCATCAGTCATCGAGCACTGCCATCTGGAAGTGAGCACCTCACCTTATTTCGAGAACACCACCACGGCTCCAAACAGCTCTGAAATGTCCTAGCAGAGCCTGAGTTACTCTTGTCTGAAGACCTTGGTGCCAGGCAGCCTACCTTGAAGGGTGGGCTGAGTTTCAGAAACGGACGCCTGCCCTCTCTCCAGGGCCTCCTAGACCTGCAGTGCCCCGGTGACGGGCCACTGTGGGGCCACAGCGCGTGTGTGTCTGGGAAGAGTGTGGTGGTGATAGAGGGCTGACCCCGCGTCCAGCGTGCCGCCCCAACAGTTCGGGAGTTATTCCCGTGTTGCAGTTGAGGAAATGGTTCGGGACGTTTAAATGACCAGCCTGTCACTGGTGCCTACACGTCCCCTTCCATGGCCGCTCATGGTCCGATGGGCACTGTGCCAAGCGATTTAATTCCCCCAGTGACCTCGTGAATATAAAATTGCTGTTACCACTTTTATTGCTCTGGTTCTCCAGGTTAAGCAATCTGCTCAGAGCCATGTAGGTAAGAGGCTGCTGACGAGGGTGGACGGACCCTCCCGCCACGGGTCCCGTCTGCAAACCCTCCTTTCCTGATGCTGTTCTCAGGGCGCAGCTGGGCCACAAGCCTTCTCACCTGCTCTCCCGCCAGTTCCCTCCCTCCCCCAGGGAGGGGGCGGATCCCAGCTGGGAAAGCGCCCCTGCCCGAGACTTGACATTCCCGTCCTTGCAGGGCCCACCCCCACGGAGGAGAGAACCTCTTCAAACTGTCTTACTGAAGACACTTGAGGAGCTCTCAGAAGCCATAGCTTGAGCATTCAGCTTAGAAATATTTACAAATACTTCCCAAGAAGTATGACTAAATCCACTGGAGATGTGAATACCTCCGAGTCCGCTCTCATTGCAAAAGATGCGCTCCCACGTTCTCAGGATATGTGAATACCTCCGAGTCCGCTCTCATTGCAAAAGATGCGCTCCCACGTTCTCAGGATCTGCAGAGTCCCCGGGAGCTCAGTATGCAAAGCCGTGCAGAGGAGCGGTCTGGGGTTTGCAAATGCTCTCAGGGAACAGACGTCTTTTCTTCTATGTACCTTCCGTGCACCACCCAACAGGAAACACTTGCTTTTCCACATTCTCACTACAGGTACAACCCAGCTCATCCTGGGGAGCAAGCTGTCGTGTTTGCCTTGCTACAGGCAAAAAGTTTGGCAGAGCAATCATCAAAAATATATCGCTGCTGAAATGGCTGGTGATGAATGTCCTCCATGTCATAAAGTAGATGTTCAATATTTGATGGAGTAAAATGTGCTCTGCGTGGCTCATCCTTCTTTCGAGACTGGGCGTAAATGACAGGGCTGGTAGGTCTGCAGACGGCGAGGCATGCATGCTGCCCTCGGCCCCCGGGACAGGTGTCAGGAAGTAGCAGCTCCGCAGGGTGGCGGCCGGTGCGGGGAGAGTGTGAATGGCTCCCTCAGAGAGTCTCGAGGAAACGTCGAGAGCTGGACGGGAGGTCTGTGGGCTGCCCTCTTGCTGGCACAACCTCACTGTGGGTCCGGGGGCCGACCGCCGCAGCGTCCTCGCTGTGTGACCACCCTGGGCACCCCACTGCCCCCACAGACAGGGTGAGCCAGGATGGAGCCGCAGAGCAGAACCTCAGCAATGTGGGGCTGAACCCGACAGCTGAAGCATGCTGAGCCCACAGTGTCATCCCTCCCACCGCCCGCAGTGTGTCCGAGATGCTTCAGCTGGAAGCAGTAACCCCCGTGGGTCACTTTCACCAGGGTGGCCATGGAACCCGGCTTACACAGTCTCCAGGAAGAGGAACGCCAGCTCCACAATGTGATTCTGTCTGCATCCTCCAACCTGGCCAAACGTCCAGGTTCCTTATCTGTAAACTGGAAATTGGAAAACCCGGACAGGATTAAATAAGATAGCAAGTGCAGAGCCTGCCCTATCGCGAGAGGGTGGTGTGGACGGATCCGGAAGCCTGCTGCACCAGAGGGACGGGCGTGGTGGGTGGTACGCGCAGGGGTGTCCCACGCCGCCCGCCCCTGAGACTGCCGTGGAGAGGACTGGACCCCCATCACCCCAGAGACAGCTCCAGGGCCTGAGCGCAGACACGCCGCCTCCCCTGCCTCCAGATGGGAGCTCGCTTTGTCATCACAGGGCGTTTTTGGTTCCTTTTGGATAATTTCACCTGGGAAAGGATGCAGGCACGGAGGAGTCCCTCTGTGATCCCCGGGGATCACAGAGGGACTCCTGCAGGGCGGGAAGCAGGCTAGTGCTCACACTGCTCTGGGGCCTTGCCAGCAGAATGGAAGTTTGACAAACCCGTCGGTGCAGAGGTCGTGTAGGAGATCGCGATGTTGGGAAGCGGCTCTCAGAGAGAGCTGCGTAAATGATAGGAAATTTCTGAAATGCAAACTTTTCACCAACCATCCCACCAAATAAATGCAGCACACTAACTCTTTCTGGTTCTTGACTTTTTTTGTGCAGGACTTTTTGTGATGTAAAATGTTAATTGTAGAATGTTTGGAAAGTGCCACGAGGTATAAGGAAGGATGCTGTAGGGAACTGCGCCTTGGCTCCTGCACGTGTGGGTCAGGTGTGTGACAGCGGGGACCCAAGGTTTGCCTCTGCTCAGACACTGGACGGTGGCCCTGCCAGGCACCTATGGGCAGGAAGGCTTCACTTTGGCTGGGGGAGGAGGACTCTGCACCTCTGTTGGGGGTGGCAAAGGATGGGAGGATGAACCCCCCCTCCCAGCAAGCCCCTGGCCCCGCTCTGAAGCTTGGCTCACCAGGACCAGAGGCTGCAGATCCTTCTCCGAGGTGGTGCAGGGGGACAATGTCAGGGGTCTTGTCTGGTCCAGGTGCTGTGGAAACTTGTTTCTGAGGACAAACCCAAAACAAGTCGGGAAATGAGGCAATCGGGGTCAAGATGTGCCCTACACAGGTGAAGGCCCCAAGCCCCAAGTGAAAGGACAGCCCTGCGCAGCCCCGTTTGGCCCCAGGGCTGGTGAGGCACAGACATGGATATCTTCCGTGGACCATTCCATCCTTTGATCTATTCATAGATACAAAACTGTTATAGTTCTGTTACAAAGTTGTAATACTTTACATAAAATTTTGCATCCATTCTCTTATTTTGAGGTCATGGCATTGTTTTTATACTGTTTTTTCTGTTCTAAATTCTCTATGACAAGCATGCATTGCTTTTATAATCAGAAAAATTCATGTTCTTAATAAAAAGAGGAGGTTGATGAGCAGCAGGGTGACCACGCAGCACCTGAGGGAGCAGATGGCTGGGAGGGGGCAGGTAAGGGGGGCTGGGTGGCAGGTGAGTGGTTCGTTCAGGGACCACAGGATGGTAGCCTGTCTGCAGGAGATATCCTTCATTTTTATTGTTTTTAAGGAACAACTGTAGGTTTTACCCAATTTTTTCTCTCACTAACTCCAAGGTGTGAAACTGAAGACGTCAGCATGGCAGGGGGCAAGCTGCCAGGGCCTGGAATGGTCAACAGTCATCAACCCAACTGAGCACGTCTGGAGAGAATGAGCAGCCTGGCATCTACGGTCAGCCGGGAGCTAAGGATTCCTCCCCTCCTCTTGAAGTGCCTGCTCTCTCGACAGGGGCAGCTGAAGCACTTAGCTCTGTTCGGTCACATTTGGTCATGCTGGAAGCATCAGCAGCCCGAGGTCCTCAGCCAGCAGAGATTGCCCTGCAGCTTTCTGGAGCCTCCCTTGTCTGTCTGTCGTCCCCGTCCCTGCGAGGCCCCGCCACACCCGCGCCCCGCACCCTGCCACTCCTGCAGGCTTCAGCTCTCAGTCTGGGCTGGTGCAGGTGCAGCAAGACCCCAGCCATGACAAGAGGAGTGTGCCCTTCCCATCCAGGGCACTTTCTCCTGTTCTGTTGAGTTATTCCTCACACGGCAGCCATTCTTACACTTTTTCATTCTATCGCCGCTTTGAAAATCAGATGCATCGTGAACTGTCCTCCAGAGGGAAGAAAATGCACATTCGTCCTGGGTGGACAGATGTAGTCTTGTGAAGATGTCAGTTCTGCAGAAACTGATCTATAGAATCAGTGCAATCCCAACAGAACTTCCTGCAGGCTTTTGCATATTTGATAACTGAATCTAAGAGTCCCACCGAAGTGCACAATACATAACCCTGATAACATTTAAACATAAGAACTCATTTGGCGAGCTAACATCATCTGATTTACAGATTATGGTGAGTTTCCAGGAGTCGAGGCAGTGCGCGTTCTTTGAAAGTATGGACAAAAAAGATCCGGGGAATGGAAGGGGGTCTGGCGCTAGAACCACATGATTGGGACAGCTGATTCTGACCAAATTTCAAAGGCAGTTTACTAGAGAAATACTAGTCTTTTCTGTAACGGGCACTGCCACAGTTGGACATTCATTCTTTAAAAGATGGCATTGTTGTATTTTACGAAGTGAAGACGTGGTGGGGATGTGGGGCTATAAGGGACCAGCTGGCCACCACACCAACCCAGGACCTCAAATCCTCGGTAGAAACTCGCCAGCGCTGTTAGGTCGACATGAATAAAGGAGAAACGGAGAACAATGATCGTAAAACACTGCAAACAAGTCTATAGTTTCAAAATAACTTATCTTAGAAGCTCACATCAGGTGAGATACATATTTGAGGAAAATGGGGGGCTGGTGGCTTATCAAGACTCAGAGAAGCTTCCGGAATGGGAGGCGGTCCCGTGGGGAGGCGAGGCACTGAGGGCAAGACCCCCAGCCTGGAAGCTCACTCTCCCTGGACACGTCCAGAGGGCCCAGCTGCAGAGCCTGAGTGCTCCAAGCTGGAGGGATGGTCTCTCGCTTCCAGCCAGCCTGTTCCTGGCAGAGAAATCCTATGGCAGGGACGGCCTCAGACTCCTCCCACCCCTCACGCTCACCAGGTTCACTAGTGGAGTTCAAAGGGAGATGCTAGCATCCCCATTTTGCAGAGGAACCTGGTCTCCCCAGGAAACACATCTCACCCCTCTCAGGCTAGTCTGCCTCTGGGCATGGAAGGAAACATTTGGTACTGTAACCACCTCAGAAGATCCCCCTCTGACAAAAGCTAGTTCAGCTGCTCCCCTGCCAGAGGCATGGGGTGAGGGAGGTCGGCGTGAGCTTTGTCACGAGGACTTGGCACCTGTCCCAGTCGCCCCTCGGGGGCCCTGAGCACCTGTGCCAGACCCCAGACTCAGCTTAAATCTTGAGGGGAAGGGAAATGAGGTGGTGGGTCCCCATCCTCCTTTATGTCTACAGAGTTGTTAAAATGAGAGAGATCTTGGAGAGGTTATAGGAGCAAATATAAACTCTGCCCCATGAGTAACCGAAACCAGATTCTCCAGAGGAGGTGGGGGAGAGAGGGCTGGGACGAGCCGGAGAGGGGAAGGATGGAGAGTGTTTTCTATTTGATGAAGTGGACAAATAGGAGATGTAGGTCCTGAATCATTTTATTAGGGATAATGAGTTGGATTTATGGGGTGGCTTTCTTCTGAAGATCTAAAGCCATTTCCACACCTACTATTTTGTTTCTGTTCACAGCAACTTGAGAAACATGACCCTGTTGTGAAATGAACATAGAATGCGGAGATGCTGCCTGAGGGGAAGACACAGGGGCCCGCAGAGGACGGAGCAGCTGCCGGGCTGGGGGCAGGGACACGCACGGTGGTGGGTGCTCCCCAGACCTGCTCGCTGCCTCCTCCCGGGTTTCCCGTTCCAGGTACCTTCGTCCATCCTTTTTCCAAAAAACAGATTTTAGTCTAGGGCAGTTTTAGGTTCATGCAAAACTCGGGAAAGAACAGAGATCACATGCCCCCTGCCCACCACGCACAGCCTCCCCCCATCAGCACCCCCACCGGAGTGGGCATTAGTGACAAGTGACGAACTTACGCGGGCCCATAGTCATCACCCAGAGCCCACAGTTCATGTGAGGGTTCACTCGGGGCCGGGCCTTCTGTGGATTCGGACAGATGTATAAGGACACGTATCTACCATGTAGAGTCCCACAGAGTCGATCCACTGCCCTGATCAGCCCCCACCCCTCCCCTCCAGGGAACCCCTGACTTTTCACTGTCTCCATAGTCTTACCTTTTCCCAAACAGCTCCCACACCGTGTAGCCTTTCCAGATGGGCTTCTCTCTCTTAGTAAATGTACTAATGCTTCCTCCATGTCTCGTCATGGCCTGAGAGCTTGTTTCTTTTTAACACTAATATTCCATTGTCTAGATGGACCACGGCTTGTCTATCCATTCCCCGGCGAAGGATGTCGTGGTGCATCTTTGTGAGTTTGGATGATTATGAACAGAGCTGCTGTGAACACCATGTGCAGATTGTTATGTAGACATCGGTGCTCACCTCCGTGGGGTAGATGCCCAGGACTGTGATCGCTGGACTCCACGGGAAGAACAGGTCAGCTTTTACTGCTATTTCCATCTCTAGGTTCCTAGTTCTTTTTTACAAGGTTTGTATTGAAGTGTAGTATTGTAACGCAATACGACGTTCGTTTTGGATGTATGACATAATGAGCTGACAAGTCTGTGTGTTATAAGAGCAGTTCGGTTGATAAGAAACCACCTGTGTTCCACGTTGTGTTCCCTCCAGCCGTGAAGGGGAGTCCCTGTGGCTTCACTCACTCCATCTCAGGCAGACGTGGCCAGACCATGGCAGAGCCTGGGTAAGCCCGGAGCGTAATCGCTACCTGCGTCTCAGACGTGGGCATGTTTGTCGGGTCCAGGAGACGGTGTCTGTGTCCTGGGTCCGCAGTGGGGCCCAATGTTGCTCCGGGGCTGTGGACACAGGTGATCGGTCCTATTGCTTCGCTCACTCGTTCAAGCATTTGTAACAGTGCCCCTAGTACGTGCCAGGCCCCCTGCTCGCGTATCAGCGTCCCTGCCAGCCCCACAGAGATGATGCGGGCCGTGGCACCACTGGAAGCTAAGGGGGTCGTGGCGTGGACCGTCGCTCGCGCTCACAGAGGGCGTTAATACTCGCTCGCTCCCACAGAAATACGCGTCACCGGGCTGTGGGCACAGAAGTGCAGAGACTTAAAAGCCTGACCACGTGGGACAGTCTATAGGAAAAAGAGCCTGTTTCCTCCCAACCAACCAACAAACAAGTAGAGAAATAAATAAGACGAGACATGTTTGGAGAGTAAAAGAATTAAGCGCCCTTGTAGTCTGTGCCTCATAGTGTTGGGCTCGTTTGGTTCCAGATTTTAAAAGCCACACGTAAAAAGGCAATTTAGGGATAATCGAGGGAGTTTGAATATCCGCCGGGCATCGGTTAGAGGTAGTGACGTCATGTCCGTGGTATCAGAGGAAAATGTCCCGTGGTTCAGAGAGGCACAGGGAGGGAGGTGGCAGTACAAACAGATGGAGTCCGCGATGTGCTCTGAACGTCAATGAGAACAAACCAGCCACAAACGGGGCGGGGCGGGGCGGGGCGAGACGCAGTGGTCCTCAAGCTTCGATCCCGGCTGGACCCCAGCGCTTCTGGTGCCTCCGGTGCTGCCCAGGCTGGTTCGCACCCAGACAACCCCCTGCCTAGAGGGAACGGCAAGACTGCGCATGATCACGGCAGCCGGGCTTGGGGTCGCCAGGCGTCCTCATACTATTGTCTCTACATGTCTCTGCTTGACACAGAAGGTGTCCGGACGGCTTTTAAACAGTGTATTCTCCTCAACGTTTTAGAGCTGAGAACACACTGGCAATTCAGAGATCAGATTCTCGCCCCACATCTTCCTCCACCCAGAGCTTCCGTGAGAAATCGAGCAGCAGCTCCAGGAGACCCGGGACGCACACGACCCCAGTGTGTCAGTCTCTCTCTTCTCACACCTGGGCAGAGATTGTGGCCAGAGTGACCCAGACCCGAAGGGAAGGAAGGGAAGGGAGGGAAGATAGCAGGCGGCGTGGTCCCAGCCACTCGCCACAGTGGGTGACGTCGTTTAGGAATGACTCCCGTTCAGACCTGTTGGCCGGGGAAGCATTTGGTGCTGTTGGACCACTTGCTGCTCCCCCAGCCTCCCTCCCCAGGGAAGAAAAACACAAAACAGTGGTTTAAACGAGAGAAACATCTCCTCTTCCCTCTGGGGCCTCCTGAGCTGCCGAGGGGCCAGCGTCTACTACTCAGGCCTCAGCCCGCGTGGCAGCAAAGGTGGGTGGGACGCACGAATCCGGGAGGCTCCCAGGCTACGAGCCCCCCGCTGACGTCTTCCCTGGGACCCGACACCACTCCTGCAGGGGAGGCAGAGACGCAGTCGGAACGGGGACGGACGGGCGCAGAGCAGAAACCGTCTTACCACTCGGGACCCAGCCTTTCAAACCTGTCCTGACTCTTCTATCAAGTCTCTTGTAAGGTTGCCCACTGGCCGACTCAAAACACAGGACAAGAAATACCACGTCACCCTTTAGCAGAGTGGGATTTGAATTCCCATCTCCCAAGCATGAAGAAATGAGGAACCCATGGCCTATCCTGTTCAGTGACAGAAGTCCTTGACGCTGGGGGCAGAGGTGGGCCCCTTGGCCTGCAGGAAAAGCAAGCATGAGTTTGCATCTTGGCTCCTCCCAAAACGGATTAAGTTGGCAGTTTCAGGAAAATCTACTTCCTGCAATTTGGTTACCTAAAAATAGCTTACACTTTAGCATATAGAATCCCTCTGAGACCTACATCTCTCAGGGTTGACAAGGCAGGAGCCGTGATCCTCGGTGTAGGGGGCAAGTCTGGCATTTGCCGAGGGCCTCTCTGCAGGTCCTCCGGTCTCAAGGGGGAGATACCCTAGTGAGGGGGAGGCAGAGATTCTCTACTTCTTTCTGCAAGTAGAATTTAGTCTCAAGACCTTAGAGAGTTTTGTTTAAAATGAAATGACAAAATTAATACATATGCCTATTGAAAAATTACAAAACGTAGCTAAGAAAAAAATGTATTATTTTCACTTAAGGTCTGCTAACTCTGTGTGTGTGTGGGAAAGAGAGACTGCATGCGTCACCAGGTATATTCTCCTTTTTTGCAAATGTGTAACTGATTTTAAAGCAAGAACCTGCAGTGATCATTTTCACACCTTAAAGAAAGATTTAAAATAATTGAGATTCTGGAGACAAGCCTTGGAAATTCACTCTTCGACTCCACTGGGCAATTCGGGAAGACACGTTTTAGAAGGAATCTCTAGGTATTGGGACAAAGCAAAGCCCCGCACAGTGGAAACCCAGGTTCCCCCCACCAGTGGCTCTGGAGGGTCACTAAAATCTCAGAGTTTGGAGGACAGCTGGCCGGAGGGCTCACCCTGCTCCTGGCCCTTCCAGTGGGGACTAGGGGCTCTGTTCCCATAGCCCATGCTCCTGGCCCCCCTTCCCGGGGCAGGTTGGCGAGCCCGAGCCCTGCGTGTGTGATCCTGTCCTCTCTCCTCTGGGCAGACTTGGGGAGAGCAGTTCAAAGGCCTCCGGGGACCGAGTGGCAAAGGCAGATTCAAGCCCAAGCCTGCCTGCTCCCCAAGCCCATGCGCAGCCTGAGAGCGGGGAGGGGGGCCCACCACAGCGGATGGCTGGCTGCCACCCCACGCGGGAAAGCACGGAGCCCTCTCCCTCATGCGCGTTCCAGACCAGCACACAGGCTTTCCTTCAATCACACCATGCTGCGGAAATGACCTCACAGTCACAGGCAGACGGGCGACATGACCATTTAGGGGGGCCCACCTAGAAAACCAGCCACACGTACAACTGTGTCTCTAATAAGATGGGCCCAAGTTCCAAACAACACACTTGGAAACGAGCCTTTGAAACCCCGCACATTTGGAGGTGGAGGCTGGGATGGAAACACAAAAGCATGTTGGACTGGTTCTTTGCTCACCCCGTCCCTCTACCTGGCCTGCCCCTGCTCTGGGTGCACTCTATCCCGGTGCAAAGAGGAACAGAGAGGAATATGGCAGCCTGGCGGTCCCCATGACCAGCAGTCCCAGGGTCCATGTCCCTGAGTGGCCCCTTCCCCTCACACATGGGCTGGGCTGCAGACCTGCTTTAGCCAGTGGAATATGGCAGAAATGCCGGATCCCAGAGTAGACCCCAAGAAGGCCTCGCAGCTGGAGCCATGCGTTTCTGGGCGGCTGGGCCACCCCGTAGGAAGTATGGTGGTCTCTTGGGGAGACCCGTGGAGGAGCCTGCGATGGCATGGAGGGAGATTTCCCCAGTCCCCACCTGCCCACGTGCTGGGTGAGACACTGGCCTGTTCTGTCCCAGCCTCTGGCTCCTGGAACGCAGCCCCGCAGACCTGGGTTTCCCACCCACCTAGGAGTCTCTGCGTTTGCTTCCTCAGTCCTGACCCGCCTCATAGGTCAGCTGTGCCCTTAACGGTTGTGGTCCTCGGAGGAGAGCCGCCTTCCCACCCTGCGCCCTCCCAGGACAGAGCAGGGATCAGATAGTCTAGATTCAGACAAGGCATGCCTGAAACAGATGGCCTACCCTGGGACCCAGAACCTCGGCCACTCAGGGAAAAGGTTAATGGTTGAAGATAATTATGAACAAAGTCAGCAAGACAGCTATCACTTAAATACCTTTTTTAAAAAATTTATTTTTATTTTTTTTTTAATTGAAGTATAGTTGACGTAGGTTTCAGGTGTAGGATCCAGGTTTCGGGATCTCTGTATGTTATGAGATGCTCACCCCAAGTATAGCGACCAGACGTCCCGTATAACACTATCATCATCCCACCCACTGTAGTCCCCATGCCGGGCCTGCCATCCCCCCGACTTACTCCATAACTGGAAATCTGGACCTCCCTCCCCCTTCACCCATCCCCCAACCCCCTCCCTCCGGCACCCATCAGTGCGTTCTCTGTATTTTTGGGTCTGATTCTGTTTTTCGTTTTTTCATTGTTTTATTTTTTAGATTCCACGTATGAGTGAAATCGTATGGTGTTTGTCTTTCTCTGACTTATTTCACTCAGCATGATCCCCTCTGGGTCCATCCACGTTGTCCCAAATGTCAAGATCTCATTCTTTTTGATGGCTGCATAATATCCCTGTGTGTGTGTGTGTGTGTGTGTGTGTGTGCGCACATGCCACATCTTCTTTATCCATTCACCTACCCATGGACACTTGGGTTGCTCTCATATCTTGGCTATTGTAAATAACATTGCAATAAACACAGGGGTGTGTGTATCTTTTTGAATTAGTGTTTTCATTTTCTTTGAGTAAATACCCAGTAGTGGAATTATTGGATCATACAGTAGCTCTACTCTTCACTTTTCAAGGACTCCCCATACTGTTCTCCACAGTGGCTGCACCAGCTTGCATTCCCACCCACAGTGCACGAGG